GGATACGCCCAGAGTCACGGAACGGATTAAGTTCGTATCCCGAGGTACCACTGTATTTATAGACATCTGCTTACCTGTTTATCTGTGAAGGTTAGTTGTGGGGCCAGATGTCATATTCCACAAGACATCTGTGTAGCTCATAAAAAAGCAATGTGAATCTTACTTTCCTTGGGCCACCTGTGACAAGTTTTCATTTCCTCACACTTTTCTGTTTTGGTAACCTTGGATTAACTTTTGATGGGAGATAAATCCATTAAAATGTGTTGGATAGTGCTGCTCCTAATATTAATTGTAACTAAGTTAAAAATCCCCCTGGTTTACTAAGTTGTAATTTTATCATGCATTCCCCCAAAGGGCTGTAAACAGACTTTCATAGAGAATGTATGGTATATAACTGCCAAAATGTTAAAATGATTATATTGAATTGCACAGTTGAAAGAGAAATCTATTTTATTAAAAAGTTCTGGAAACAAGAGGACAGACTGCTACAACTTGTAATTAAAAGGCTTTTTAGATTAGGGCAAGACTGATCCTTGTACTTTGTATGGATGTCTCTTCTGCCAGCAGAACAAGTTTAAATTGTTATTGTAGCCTTTTTTTTTTTTTGGATTAAATGAAATTGAATAAAACAACTAGATGAAATTTAAGGTGAAAGTCAGGCTTTCAATGAAATTGGATAGGTATTTCTAGAAAGTAATGTATTATTGAGGGCAGGCTATAGGTTTAAGTAAGGGAACAGTAATTTTTATGACTATCTGAGCCTATATGTTGTCTGTTGCTGTTGATTTCCAAAATAGTAAATTTTTAATTACGTTGAGTTTTGTAAACTATCTTGGAATTTTCTTACAAAACAACCAAAGTGACTGAGTAAAGGCTATGCATAGAATGGCCATTTAGGTGCATTACAAACCTTATTTAGAAGAGATAAAATCAGTAATGTTCTTTAAAAATTTTGATTGATTTTCCTTTACACCACATATAACATCTTGATTAACCCTCTCACAATCTTGATTTAACTTATGTTAATCGTTTGTTTTAACTGGTTTCTGTAATCAGCTTCTATAGTTGGTTTTATTGTATGCTGCCCAGAGTCACCTTGTGTGAGATGGATGGCCATATAAATTGGATGGATGGATGGATGGATGGATGGATGGATGGCCCTAAAAGCATAGCTATATGCAGAAAATATTTGATCTGTACAACAATTATTAAGAAATGCAATATTTTATTTGCAGCAGTGCATATCTAATGAGTCATTTCTTCATCAATAATTTTTTAAGTAGTAAAGTTGAGTGATTTAACTCTCCAGTGCTTAAAAACAATCACTTTTACCAATTTGATAATGTGATCAACTAGTTCCAAGTAAGTAATAGCTTTGAAAGAAGATGATGGGTTACATCTAGTGGCATCATTCCACTTGCATTAATCCTCTACCATTAATGAAAGTTCATTTTTTATTGATGCAAAAAAAGTAAAGTCTAGTGTTCAGTTTAGTTAGTTGAAGATGGTGAGTAAACCCATGGAAAGACTAAGGATAGCAAGTATGCTTTTATTCATTAAATATGTTACCCTGTCTCTCTCTTGAACTGATTATTCAACAGTTGGTGCAATTGCAAGGAAAACACACCCATAGCTTATGAGTCATTTGCTAGTGTGTAATTTGATTCATTTGTTAATGTGTAATGGGATATAGTTATATGGGACCTATATAACAGAGGATGAGTTCATGCTTTGCTCTACACCCTGTTTTGTGTATTTATGATTTGTTAAATAAGGCTCAGTGTCTGGATTCACCCATAGCCATAAATTATAGTGGTTTGGATCCTGTATCAACTAGGCAACAAACAAACATTAATGTTGGCTTATTATAATGTGTGAACCCAAACAATTTCTCCAGTGTAATTTTGAAATTTGTTTAAAAAGCAGGAATGCAAATGCAAGGATGGGATCTCTCATTGGTTCAGAGGGCCACTTATATTAGTATGTTAAGATGGTCAACTATAGTAACAGACAGTGGATAATAAGGCATGATTATAAAGTACAGGTAGTCCTTGGATTACGACAGCAGTTGGGACTGGAATTTCCATCGCTAAGCAATGCAGTCATAAAACATGACATCACGTGACCGCATTGCTTAGCAACGGCAATCCCACAGTCATGGTTGCCATTGTAACACTAGAACCCCGCAGGTCATTTAGCAGAAAGAGGCAGGAATCCCAGGCAAGCTGGGTGGTGGGTGAGAGCGGCAGGGGGAGTGCAGGTGGGCGCTCAGGAGCACAGGTGTCACAGGGGGGCAGGGAGCCACAGGCAGGCGCTACAGACCGTGGGTGCCACAGGGGAGCAGGGGGAGCTGCAGGCAGGTGTTACAGAGCACAGGCGGGCAAAAAAATGGCAGGGGTGACTTCAACTTCCTGCCAGCTTCCCCATTGACTTTGCTTGTGGGAAGCTGGCAGCAAACATCAGAAATCACAATCATGTGACCATGGCTTGCTGTGACGTCATAATCGCAAGCCAGGCACTGAGCCCCTGGATCGCAATCATGTGACCACAGGGACACTGTGACAGCCAGAACTCCGAGGAGTGGTAATAAGTCCCCCTTGTTCAGTGCTGTTGTAACTTTGAATGGCCACCGAATGAGTGGTTGTAACCCAAGGACTACCTGTAGGTTTTCACATCATGAGTAAAGTAAAAATTATCTCCATGTAAATGAACAGAAAAAACAAGCTTTTATAGATTTGAAATTCTCCAATTCATTACGATTTATGCAGGCAGAATAGTTTTAAACGTCTTTTAGTATTGTTTCATCATATGTTTTCACTTTCATGTACTTGCTGACTATAAGATCTCCAACGTGAGCCTTCAGGTCTTTCAGAGATTCACCCATCACCCCTGTGCTTTTTTCTAGAGAACCATTATTAATTGATGTAATTATAGGCTTGTTTAACACTTCAGATTCAAAGGGAAAGAGGTACTTTGAAGTATGCATCTTTTCCAAGGATCAGACTGTGGCTGTGGAGGACAATCTCATGAGTCTAGGAAAAGATATAGCTGCATTAAGGAGTTCCTCTGATATATGCTACATGAGTGTCCTTCAAGTACTCCAAAGCATTTTTCTCTTTCAAATCTGAAGGGCTGCATACAGCCTCCTTGACTGAATATACATTTATCCAGCCCAGCAACAAGAAGTTTGTAGGTGGCATGTAATACTTCCTAGCTTTGTTCCTTACGGCATATGGAGATTCAGGAATTCTGGATATTTTAGTCCAAACACATCAGGAGGGAGTCAGATGCAGGAAGGGTCTCTTAGCACTTTTTGAAGTGAGTAGATATATTGTGAATTTAAAATATGAGGAAACATAAAATAGATATTGAATATTCTTGCAAAGAGTAGCAATACATTATTTTTCAGCATGAAAATCCTGGTTCTGATCTTGGTATTATTTCTTTCTCTGTCTATGCCCACTTCTGCCAACATCTCTCAGAATGTAAAGGTTAAAAAGCTGAAGTGTTTGTAACAGTGAAGTGTTGTTGCTCTGGATCATAACACAAGTGAAAACTTTAGCTCTGTAAGATGCATTCCAACCAGTATCAGTATGTGTTCCAGGCTACAAGGAGCCTGGAGCTGCTATAGCTCTTCTATTCTGTGACATGCCCATCTGATAGCCTGTCTGAACTCACAGAGTGCCTATCAGCATCTTGCTATCATTTGCACTGTTCATATCCCGTCACAAGATTCTGCTGGGATAAATGCTTTACTTTTTTTAATGGCTTGGAATGTGTGTGAAAGAGGAGCTGATCCTGATGTTCATCTTCCTATGTTCATCCTTTTCTCTTTTTTAGTACAGTAAATACAAATTAGTCTGACCTGTCAATTGTAGCACCTAAATTATGACTTAATCTCCCAGGGTAAAACACACTGGTATTATCTGCATCTTTTAAACAAAGTTAAAAAAAAATCTGTTCTTGTGAGCAGCTTTTAGTTGGAGGTACTAATGAAGGTAGTTTAAGTGTGTTCTCAATGATGTGTTTTTTATGTTGCATTTTTTTACTTTCATATCAGGGGTGCATCAACATTTTGGGGCTACAGTTACATTTGTCCTTTAAGTAGCACGTCCACAAAGCAGACAGGACAAGAGAAACACAAACTTTGACTGGATTTTGAATTGTAGCTGACTCTTGATGACGCTATTGATAAAAGCTCTCCAAGCTGTTCTGTCTCTGGCTGTGTTGCTCAATTCTTGTAGGTGCATTCCTGTAGCTTCTAATACTCCACCTGTCTACAACATGCACTCTCGTCCTCTTCTTCTCTTTCTGTTTACCTTGCCCAGCATTATCCTTTCCTTAGTTGCATCAGCCCTCATGATATGTTCAAAGTACCATAGCTTTGTTTCATGATTCTTGCTTCCAGTGAGCATTCAGGCTTGATTTCCACTGATCTCCTGGGCTGTCCAAAAAAGAGACAATTCATGCACAGAATCCATCCCACACATCTGTACATCATAATGTTGCTCACAGTTACTCATGCCTCAGTCACTTCCCATTTGGATTACTGCACTGCACTCTAATGGGGCTGCCCTTGAAGACCATACAGAAGCTGCAACTGGTTCAGAATTCAGTGGCACATGCAGTTTTGGGTGCCCCGCAGTTCACCCGAGTAACACCACTGCTGCATGAGCTGCACTGGCTTCCAGTTGCTTTCTGGGTGCAATTCAAGATGCTGGTTATCACCTTTAAGGCCCTACATGGCACAGGGCCAGGTTACTTGTGGGACTGCCTCTCCCTGAGACTGTCTGTCCTACTAGGTTAGATAGGGTGGGCGCACTCCAGGTCTCCTCCTTTAAATGTTGCCATCTGATGGGACCTCAGAGGCGCACCTTCTCAGTGGCCGCCCCAGCCCTTTGGAATAGCTTTCCGCCTGAACTCTGAGGGATCCATATCCTTTTAGTCTTCCAGAGAGCCATGCATGCCATGAAGACTTGGCTCTTCCCCCAAGCATTGGGCTAGGATGGGCTTTGAGCTGGAGGCCGTTTGGTCTGGTGCCAAAGGAAAGGGTACTTTTGTTATTAGCTGTGTCTTTATGGATTGTTTTGAGCCGCCTAGAATCCTTATATGAGATGGGCGGCCATATAAGTCCTGTAAATAGGTAGATTGATTAAATAAATAGGGAAGGCTATTGGGTGGATCATTTTAACTTTTATCTTGATTGAAATGCCACCAACTTTATTAGTTAATTAACTACAGTTATTAAAATCATTCTCCATTTTTAGTCTTTTACACCATATTAAACATTACAATTTGGTGACAATTTTTGGAGGAGGTCTGGGGCCACAATCGTGCCTTTGGGCAGCAGGTTGGGTATCCCTGTTCTATAAGGTTCTGTGTGTATCAAGAAGGGGAAAATAAATGCTTACATTCACTTTTTCATTTCATTTAAAATATATGAAGCTTGCAACTGCATTAGTAGATTTCTTCACATGCAGAGAGCTGTAACAATGTGAGTGACAAAAAAAAATTGTGTATTATCCCTGTGCTATAATAATTAATGCTCAACAGATAAAAAGAGTTAAACCTACTGAAATCTTGTCATTCCTGAAGATGAGCTAGTTTATATGAGGAAGAAAGGGAAAAAATCACAGATTGTAGTTCCTTAATTTCTCAATTTCACAAGTTCCAAAATTGACTATGATGAGTAGTGGCAATAATTAAGTGTGGTTCAGTCTTCTGCAGCAGGCCTGATATTAACCTTCTGTGTGTAATAAGTTCCAATTAGATGTCTTCCAACTGGGGAAATGGAGTTTAAAATGACAAATACAGTTCGGCATAAACATTTGTAGAATGATGTATATGAGGAGCAAAAATTCTAAACTTCATAAATACTCTGTTGGGTTCTTAGCAGATGGTACCTGTCTGCGAAAGGTATCTTTGAATCGTGGTAGATAGTTCAGTGAAAACGATGAGCCACTGCACAGCAGCTATAAGGCAAGGCAGATCTCACACCGGAGATCGATAGAGATGAAAAATAAAGTTGCCAATAGCATATTTATGAAGCAACTACATCTGATCTATGTGTTGTGTTCTTGTCATCGCAAATCAGAAAGCATATTATACAAGCAGAAGTGGGCAAATAGTGGGATCAGGAGCCAGGTACAACATTGTTTGGATTGTATGCTACAGCCCAATCCTCTAACTAGCTGAAGGGCCTAGGTGACATATCTGGAACAGTTGGCCTTTTTTTCTTCTTTTGAAGCTTATACAGATGCCTCTAGGAAACAGACAACTTCCATTTCAGTTCTTAAAGCCCATCCTTAACACCCAAAATAGCTGGTAATCATGCCCCCAGATTTTGGCAGCCAAAGAGCCATATTTTAATGGTGTGATTTCAGGTCATTTGGGGGATGATCTCAGGATGTTGGGGGTTGCACATGGGATGCTGAGGGTGCATATCATCTATAGGATGCTCACCCTGCTGAATGAAGAACGTTTTCTATGTCTGTGGTGTTTACATGTGGAAAGAAACACGCACAGCCTGGCTTCTGGAATACTTTTCAACCCATTAATAATAGCTCTGCTCTGGATCACATCTCAGAGAAGGAGGAGAGAATGGGCCTTAGAATAGCACAACCAGTAGCATTCCAAATGGCTAGTATTTTGCTGGCGCATAATCTCTTTAGAAAATTGAAAAGAATTTTTTAAAACTGGAGTGATCGTGGTGGCTATATATGTGATCGATTAGATGACCCTTTGAAATAATCCAGCGGAGTTCTTCCAATGTTCTTGTATTAATTTCCTCTGCAATTCCCTGCACCAAATTGAAATTCTGTTTTATATAATTTTTGGTTTTTCCTCATACTCTCATTTCTTAGTACAGAAAACAAAGCATCTGTGATGTCTTTTTAAAGCTTATTAACTTTGAAATAAGTCCCATTGGGTTCATTGCAACTTATTTCCTCGTAAAAGGTCAGGAGCACAGTCCCTGTGGGTGTGTTCTGAACAGCCTCCTTTGTCCTGATTAGACTCCCTATACAACCTAATTTCAGTTTTTAAAAAGGAATTTTGAGTCTTAAAAACAACCACCACAGCAGTGGGAAACTGACGTGCTGCAGAGCAATGCATACATTTTAGCACAAGTGTTTCTTCCAAGATTGCTTCGTAGATCTCAGAGACATTTTGAGAAAATAAAAAAGTTGAAATGCTTTTGTTCAGAAGCTGGCTGTGCCCAGACAGTAAGTTAACAGTGGTAGAGAGCAACCCAGGTAGCTTGAACAAGTGCCTGAGAACACGCTCATTAATTTGCTTTCTGATAAATGGAGATTTTATGATTGATCAAGCTCCCCATGTGAACCATATTGCAAATAGACAGTCCCCCATGTTAGCCACTTGGGGAGTATTCCCAAGTCAAGTTCTCAAAATTCTAAATGTGCCCACCAGCTGATAATATGTGTTCACTACTTCCCTAGTAATTGACAGCAGTTAGAGCCTGATTGGTATGGAATACAATAAGAGAAATGTACTACCACTTTTCAAGGGTCTAATGTGTTCATTCATTCATTATTTTATTTGACAATATTTATATTGGTGGAACAGAAAAGCATAAACAACAAAGAAAATAAATAATAAAAGCCAGTATAAACAAAAATATATCCAAAATCCTATGATGATAATCAGACTGGACAGGCATACTCAGTCCTAGCAAATATACTTCATGAGAAGATTGTTATTCTTTAATATAACTGCAATGCACTTTCTATACCGCCTATGTTTTGTAGAGTAAATAGTTTCTTAATAATCAGATGTAAACAGCCAATAATTATATGCCCTGATAGAGATAGTAATAATGTTTCAAGACAACACACATTATTCTATTTTGAATCTCTGTGGTGAATAGAGACTGACATGAGCAAAGAAAGCAGTACTACTAAAGATTTAGTGTAAGCAAAGCTTCATGTGTCTAAATGGCTTTCTGGCTCTCTTGTCTATTCAGAATGTTATGAATATGGCTCAGGGACACTTTAGATGTGCTTATGAATGTAATGTAATGTTACAAATACTTCAAGAAGACAGTCTGATCTTTGTATGAATTATATGAATTGCGGTATTTATTTATACCTTGTTTTTATTGCAGTCTGAAATTGGATTTGGAAAAATGGAAACGTACGTCAAATTGGAAAAGCTTGGTGAGGTATGTCTGCTTTTTTTTTTAACTATCAATAAATAAAATTAGTATTAGTTATACTTTAAATAACAGTAAAAAGCAATGAATTGTCCAAGCTCAAAATAAGAGATAGAGCAAACTGGAAATCAAAGAATATATTTTTCTTAACGATAATATCTGGCTGTCTGTGGATAACTGTGGACAATTGATTTCACTTAACAATAATACTTGTCATAAAATGCCCTATTATGTTATGAAGTATTTGTTACATATACGTAAGTACATCTCTTCCATGCCATTATACTGCAGTGCTATGGTTCTGCCCCAAGTGAATTTAAATTTATTTCAAAAATTAATCAGTACAAAAGTTTTGTTCTTTGTTGTTGGATTGCTCCATAAATGTCATAAGCTACTTCTCTCTGTCTCTGCATACATGAAGCAAAGTGGCTAGGTATGCACACACATGTAGAGATAGCAGGCAGCAACTTAACAAAGCAGCCACCCAACCCTGGAAAAATACATTGCTGCTGTGATAATATTGATTTGAAGAGAGATGCTTCATACTTACTTCCATGCACTGCAGTCAACACACTTTTTCCCAAGGATTTTGCACTTTTGTACTATGCCTGGGGGAATATTGGGTTTGGTTGGCAACCAATATTAACCAAGCTTCTGACTGAATTTTCACATCTACAAGAGTGAAGTTTCCAGTTAGCCATAGTTTTCCATATGGCCAAACCCAACAATTGTTTGTTTATTTACAATGTTCCTGTGCTGTTCAGTAGCCAGATCAGTTGTAACAAAAAAGTCAGTGGAGCTATCAGTTTCAAAACAAGCTGTGATTTAAAATCCTGACTTGTTTTGAAGCTTTAAAGCATAGTTTCTCACTTTCGACAATATATCTGGAGGTTGAGTCATGGCAACTGGACTTTTTTCTTTTGGTTTGATACGTTTCGCTGCTATGGACAAACAGCAAAACATATCAGACCAAAAGAAAAGAAGTCCAGTTGCCATGACTCAACCTCCAGATAATTCCACCTGGATGACTGAGAATCTTCATCAACATTTAGACAATATAAGAAAATGTGGATAATTGAAGACTTCTTCATTGTGTTCAGATTCATCATAAAAAGAATAAAGAGGAGTTTGTACAGATAAAAGTCTTGCTCATCTCATTGCTCAAAGCAAGCTGCCTTTTAATGGTCAAAACAAATGGGAATATGTATTCCAGGAGAGTTGGAGGATCGTCAGTAGAGGAATATCTTACCTAGCAATAAATTGCATACTCTGTAAATAAAAGGCCTTGGGTTTAGCTATACACAGGTACTATATTTAGCTGACAGGAAGAGTGTTTTTCTCCCACATAATTTACCTTTAAAGTGAGAGGGTTGTTCCTGTGTACAGTACTGTGCAGAGATGTGCAAAATCTATTGTTCTGGAAACATTCCCTT